AAGGAGCCTGAAGTAGCCTGAAGGAGCCTGAAGGAGCCTGTTCAGAGCCTGTTCAGAGCCTGTACTGGTAAGAAACCATGGTGACATCAAATCAACTCAAGATCTCAGCCTGCGAACTTGATTGCTTCTTTTGACAAAACCCGTGAACCCGAAGAGGTGTTCTGTTGAGATGCGCTGTCCTTGTGTCATCAGAAACCTGGTTCACTCAAGGCTGTTCCAACAAGACTACGGAAGACGTTTGTCACAAGGGGGTGAACATAATTCTTCAATAAATCGCAGAAGTGCTCCAAGAGGAAAAAGGAAAACGTTGTTCACCTAGGAGTGGACTGTTCCAATGCTTTTGGCATTAGAATGGATCCTGTAAGCCCGCAAGATGCGCAAATAAGCGTGTTTTCTTTTGAGAGCGGCCACGCCTAAAATTTCTCCTACGCAAGAGGCTGCGCAAAGCTACGCAGACTTCTTCTGTGAGAACAAGTGCGCTCATTGGAAGGTATCTCACCAACCATACAACAAACACCCAAAAAGTCAAATAAATTATCATTTATTATTTCCACTCGTTTCAGGTACACATGCTCATTATCAGAGGACATCAGGGACTAGTCTAAGTGTGGACCTTTTCAGTCTGACTGAGAGGTAGGCTGCGCAAAGTGTTTCCACTACAATTTCCCGACAAATACGCTGGAAATGCATTGAAATTGTTCAAACGAACGTCGCTGATGTCGCTCTCTCCTGAGGCTGTTGGTAAGAAACTTGGAGCACAAAACTGCAGAATTCGTAGATGATGATACCTTGTTGCAATTACTCAGGCCTAAAACCTTTACTTGAAGCGCTCGCCACAGGACTTCGCCATCAGTTCGGCATGATTCGGCGGAGTTGGAAAGATGGGGGACATACATGCTGTTTACAAACCGCATACTGCAATGCCACAAAATGCCTAATGCCAAGATGACACAGGGCAAACCTTTGCAGATTTCAGGAGGAGCAAACAACAAGAGTTGAGTTCTCATCAACCAGCCATGCTGCCAGGAAACATGCCAGATCTATGGCTGCGAAGTTGCTTCAGGAAGTGCTGACACTGCTTAAACGAACACTTTTTTCAATACGCGTCGTGTCTTGCCAGGAGGCGGCCATAGTGACAGGAGTTCTTGAAAAATCCAGCTTTTGAGCAATGCGAAAAGTCGATGCTTTCAACATTTTGCCGGTCGTTCCTCTTAATGTTGTGTGAACAAAACGTGGCAAGGCCTCTAGAACCAACTGGTGAAAGGTGCTTTGTGCTGTACCCGGAGATTTGCGTGCTCCTTTTAATTTGACCATGTATACTGCAGTAGGTATGAAATATATTGAAATATCATCTTGCTTCCTAGACCCCCTTGGTCGGGGATTCAGCTTTGTGGCTCCTCTGCAACCCATGGTGCTTGCCATGAAGTGATAGTTCATAGTAGAAGCTCACCCCCCAAAGGAATACATTTTTGGGGCTTGCCAAATCCTGCCTTGTGCTGGTGCAAGGCAGATCCCCCCATGTCTCATTCAATCAAAAATAATAATGTATAAACCTTCTTGGCACCTCTTTCTGTCGCCGACCTTGACCACCTGCCCCCCCCCTACCTCTCATACATTTGATGGAAGTGTATGAGCCGGGCGGGGTGTGTATATACACGGAAGGCAGGGGGGTGGTGCTCCCGAAGCCAAACTCGGAACCAAAGCCACCCAACCGAGGCCACTACCCAGCTCTCCACCTTTTTTTCCGCGGCCGATGTTCCCGTTCCGCTGCAGTTAATTCCACCAACTTAGCGATTTCGTAAAGGGAGGTCCCACTTTGCAGAGACCTCTAATGAAACTCCTCCTTGCTTGGCCGTCCCAGCCATCAGGAGGATTTTTCAGTCAACTCGTGAGTCGCGATTTTTTAAATCCCCAAAGTGGCCGTTTACATCCATTTGCCCTATGAGCTATACCGTTCGGATCTCACCTGGTACTGGCTCTCATCTTCCCGTGTTTAGCTTTTGTTCACCAACTGGGACTCGAGTTCTTGTGGGGAGAATGACCATGGCGGTGCTAAGCCTAGGAGCTGGAGTCGTGGCGGATGGTGCGCCGGCGCAGCTTCCTGTGACCAAGCACTGAAGGAACAAAAACCGGCCTAGATCCTAAAAGTTTCGCTGCCATAGCAATGTTTGCCGAGAGCAATGTTTGGGAGCCGAGTGCATCACTGTTTTGCTTCCATGTGCAGCAACAAGTGTGGAATGACATGGATGTTTGCTGGAGTTTTGCTTATTTGAATTTGCTTAGGAATGCAACCATGCGGAGAGATTCTTTTCCTTCGATTGGGGTGCCAGTGGTATTTTCCTCCGCTTCAAGTTAGCTCAAGGTAACCTTAAGTGGCTTCCACGCTAAGGCAAACTTGTTTCGCCCCTCCATATGTGTCACCAGCTGGAGAGCCAGTTGCAAATGAGCAGCATGTTTGCGGATTCTTGAGTTTTTTCGTCTTTCTTTTGATATGCACATGGCCCTGCCGCCCTGCGCGTGTTGAGCCCTGTGTCAATGCAAGCAGCTGCAAGCAGAGACCAAGGAAGTCCGTCTCAGAAAAGTTGCCCTCACTACCCTCTCTGGTAACCAAACATGGCAGTGGAAAATCACAAATTTTAAGATAATTTTCCCATTTAGATGCCGGGTACGCTAGGGCTTCCTTCAGAACCTCGAGCATTCCAAGGGTTCTAAGTAGGCCCTTCCCTCCCAGCAGAGATCAGCCAGTCAGCTAGTGGAACATCTCCTGTGAACCTTGCAAATTGATGGGTTTTGATGGGGCAGGATCAGCCTATGTTTGAAGTATCGTTTCGACAGAGGCTATTTGGTGTAGCTGTGAAGATATTTCAGGTCTTATGCCCCAGAGCTATGAGCCATTTCCCGGAGGCGTTCGCTGAAGCGTTGTTCGGCACTTCTTCGTTTCTGGCCGAAGGGCGATCAAAGTTCGCGTGTTTCCAACATTTGATCGTAAAGAAAGCATGAATGCCGTGGTTGTGCCGGATTCAAACAGTCCCAATGGTTGGGCTGATCATGGCAGCATGGCCATGGACAACCTCTTAACTCTATGGTTTTCTCTGTCCAATGATGATTTTGCATTGCTATGTAAGACTACTCAAGGAGGGGGTGACGGGGGTGACATGCTTACGGAGAATGTGCAGATACACAACATGTCGTTGAACCATTGATTGCTCGAAAGATCTCCTTCTCCGGCAGAAAAGGACCCAGCCTTTCCTCATGGCATTATCCAGGCCACCAGCTGTGAACATGGACGGGCATGGTTGCAGAGTCGAACGACAAACCAATCAAGACAAAGAAAAGAACTCAGCCGCTATGGGGTGACATTTAGGTTGGTTCTCCTGACTCTCCTAACATTTGTTGACTCACCTGGCTCACTTGGCCGTATGACTCGGCCGTTGTGCCCCACTTCACCGCAGCTGCAGGTGGGAGCTGCCAGGTTCCAAACTTGATCCGGTGGACTAAAGCATTGGTCTGTGCATGTTCAAGTTCCTGCTTGAAAGTTTAGAGGTCGCTTACACGACCGCAAATCAGAGCAGAAAAGCTTTAATTGGTATCAGTGAGATATCCGATGCCTGTTATAGCTCCTCTTTTGGTGCCTGAGACTCACTAGGCGAAGTTGAACGTCTTGAATCTCGTCTCCTATTTCTGCGCTAGGGATATTTCCCCCCGAACAGCATGCGATGGGTTGGCCTGTGGTCTCCGAGCAAGACCCGAACGGGGCCGCCCAAAGCAGTCACCGTTTGTCCATATAAACTGGCAGGAAAGATATGGAAAGATGATGGTGGGGACAATGATGGTGCCAATTCTTCAGGCCCTCGGATTTCTTCCAAAACAGCTTGGCCATGAGATTTGATGATTTTCCATTCAGTCTCGTGTCGTAGCGGCTAGGCCAGTGATATTTGCAAACAGATAAATCTCGCTCCAAACTGGTCCAAACCATACCTGGCGAATCCTTTTCGGGAACTTCTGCCGGCACAGGAATTGCTGAAATCTGAAAATTCAGCCGAAAAAAGCCGCCGATGATTTCCAATTCTGCCGAAATAGGGTTGTCATTGTTGGCTCTTTGTAAACAAGACTGAGTCTTGCCAATTCCGCCAACATTTTTTCTACTTTGATTGCGCTCAAGTGAGCGAGTGTAGATGTTTCAAGCGGTTGGGGTGACTAAACGCCATTTGGGGTGACTTACAGGTTGTAGGATCTTGCCCACCAGTGGCGTTTCTTATCTGAATCAGGCAGTGGTCACGTGCTGCAGGTCATGCCAGAACAGCTGATCCAGTTTCTGTTGAGAATGTGTCCATGAGATTGTCTTCCCCCACCTGCAACCACCAATCATCTCTCATGAATCCGCAAGTCGCAGAAAGGTAGGCAAGAGCACTTGCCGCAAATGTTGACATGTTCGCCGAGTCTTTGGCCGGCAACTAGCTTGTCTTGCTCATCAGCATGGGCAGCAGCCGCACCCGGAACTGTGGCGCATCTGCTGCGCCACCCGCAAGGTACTGCAGCTCATGAGCCTTGCTCCTCGCTGTATGAGTGGCTGTTTGATTTCATTGCTGAGCTGGCCAGGTTTTGTCGGTATTCTGGGTGCATAGGAAGGAAACATAGTACAACATCCTGTGCCCCCAGTCATAGACGCCTAGAAGCTATAAATGGTCTTCAATACCTTAAAACATACAAGCAAGTGAATGCAATTGTTGTGCCACTTTGTCTGGGTAGGGCCCATCATTGCAGGCTTGCAGAGTCACTCGTGGACCCAAGGTAAAAAGGTTCCTCGGCAAGGAAGATTTGATTCCCCTCATACTGGGCAGTCCCGGGTGCGAGCTGGTCTGATGAGGGCCGCAGCTGCCAGAAGCTGGCCAATCTTTGTGCTTTCGTCTTGCGAACCCTTTTTGTTAGCTCTAAAGGCTTTGTGGCTGCAGGGCAACTCCAGATACCGCGCCAATCTCTGCCTCTGCGACTTTCCTTTTGGGTCCGAGGCGTGAATGTTGGCCGCGCCTGCCAAAAATGGCCACGCCCAGATTGTGCGCCATTCCCGTGGTAGCAAGTCCGCTGACAGAAGATTGCTGCTTGCCGCCTGCAGCTTTCGTTTCGCGTTGACGTTTCTTTTGATGTGAGCCCTGCGCAGTGACTGCCATCTTGCCCTCTCTGTTAAGCAGGAATTTGCCAGTGAAAGAGGGATCCAAAAGACCCGTGAAGCTTTTCGGCCAAGGGAAAAGCATTTCGTCATTTTGTTCTTGTACTGGTTGTACATTGTGTGCCTCTTTATTGAGTGCATTGCTCCGCCAGGTTGGGAAGCCATCCTCCCAGTGCCAGGACAGTTGTTGAGTTCAGCACCGAGCATGGTTTCAATGCACATGAGCCAAGCAACTAGGCCCCATTTGCTACGGCGCTTCAAAGAGAATCTTGCGCGACTTTGCAAAGAGCTGGCTCGGCACAGAGATCTTGTTTGAACAACATGTCCTTAGGACGTTTTTGTGACCATAGGAATCTGGTAGTTTCTAAATCCAAAAGCTGCGCTTCGTTTCTAGATCCCAAAGCGGCCCTTCGTTCGATGAGTAAGATCCAGAGTTGCTTGAAACCTATGAGCAACCGGCGGCCGAAATGAACCTGTTGAACTATTTGCTTTGGTTCGGTTGGCTCCGGAGCAGATCAAGATATGAGAGGTTTTGTCCCAGTACAGCAGTATGGCATTGCTTCTTGAATCTGACTCACTCCTGCCTTCCGAAACAACGGGTGCTGCAAGAACATAGAAAAGGCAATTTCTCACATGTGAGAATCATTTCTTTCAATTCGAGAGTCCGTATTTTGGATCATGGACCTGCGCAGTGTAACTTCGGACAAGGATGGCACAGGTCGATGCCAGCGAAACCGCTATAGCGATGCCCATTTGTTACATGTTCTCAGATTCGGCTTCTTCGCGTCGCCCCAAAGTGCTGAAGATTGACAAGAGTTGGCCAGACACAGACATCGAAGCGGTATTTTTACCCCGGGAGAAAAAAACCATGTGCCAGTGTGAATTAATTGTATTTCCGTCTGGTAAAGCATGTCAAAGTGCAAAATGACGGCCGTACCTTTGTTGATAATAAAGTTTGGGATCAGAGTTGCGCTACCAGGTTTTGATCGCAACCCAAGTGGTCAGGTAAGAATTGTGTTTGCAGAGGTGAAGAGCAGAGCATTGCAAAGAGCTGAATCACACCAAACTCGTGACGTTCTCTGAAAGACTTCCGTTCTGATTTTTGTGTCATGCAAGTGATGCAAGTGTATAAGAGAAGAACTTCAAGCAACAAGCGTAGCGAAAAACGTATTTCTGAGCATCTCCCACACTCCCAAAAGAAGGCAGATGCACTCATTCGGAACCAAATAGTTTCTGCATCGCTCTTCACCGCCTCGCGTCATGTTCGCCGCAGAGAGGAAGGCTCCTGTGATGCCTTTTTGTGCTTGGCTTGACACTTTGTAATCCATCATCTGTGTTGCAAAGAAGCAGATTCCGGATGACTTTTTTTTCCTCAAAAGAACGCAACAATTTGTAATTTGTTTGCCTCCCAGGGTCCGTTGCTGAATCCACGACAAGAAAGAAGACTCTGCCATGAATCAGTCACTTCTGTGCAGCCTCGCATGCCCGTGACAGTGCAAACGGTGTAACCAATGCTGCCAATGCTGGGTGTTGGGACATCTTTGCGGAAGTTTTGTGAGGATTCAACGGGGACGCAAAAAAGGAAAGCGACCCAGGAAATGCAGCCGGAAGCCATTGACATGTCTTGCTTGTTAAAAACGAGGATGGAAGGTGGAGATTTGGGTCAGTGTTGGTCGTGTTCTGAGATGCTGGATCGAACGCGCATGCTTCTGGAAAATGCGTGCGCAAAGAAAGATATGACTTACCAGTAGTACCGCACAAGGCGGTGGCGGAAGCTTCAACGATAGGAAACCTATAGGAAGGGTTGGTTGTTGTGACTCACGGATGGCAGAGCGAATCCACTGATGGACCGACAGGTGGTTGGAGTTGTGTTCTGGAGTTGTTGCAATGGTTGCAGTGGTCACCTCACCTAGTGTAGTGTGG